GTAGAAAGAACACTTCCTGTTTCTGGGGCCTCTGTCCCCACTGGCCCCTCTCTTCTGGAGCCAGAGTGGGTGGTATTGCTTGGTTAGTCTCCTAGAAGTGAGGGTATGGAAAGGGTCTCTGGACCCTCCATATTCCAGGCTCCCTGCAAACAGTTGGTTTGGAGCTTTCCCAGGAGGCAATAAAGGCTGCTCTTCATACCTGTGTTCAGTTTGGGTTTTGCTCTGACCTTCATTTTGGGAACCAATACATCCATTCATCAGATCCTGTAGAACTGGACTCATCCCTGCCCAGCCTTCTAGGGCCCATTGTCAAGTTGCATGCTCCAGGTCCCTCTGGAAGGCAGGAGTCTTACTTTCTCTACTTCACACTAACTACAGTCTTTAATTCTACTGTTCATGTTTCCTCTTTACTCCTGAACTTTGCACAAACACAATTCAAGAATAAATGCTCTTTTCTTTTGCACATGTGTGTAGAGCCTAGAGGTCTTTCTCAATGGCTCTCCATCTTACTTTTGAGGCAGGGTTGCAGACACACCCAGCACACCTGGCTTTTATGTAAGTGTTGGAGACCTGAACTCAGGCCCTCAAACATAGACAGCAAGCCCTTTGCTCATCTCCTTGCCTGTGGGTCCAAGTTTCGCCCTGCCACTGGGGTATGGGACACACTGGGCACACAGGACTCGGAATGCTAGAGAGCGTTTACCCTTCTGCACAGCCACTGTCAGGTGCTGGGCTTGAGCGAAGCTCCTACACACCTCTCAGGAGATGGGGAAACGCAGCCTAGGACATGGGAGGCCAAAGCTAGAGTTCCCTCCCTGATTCCCAGGAATCCTGTTGATGCTGGAAAACTACACAGAGGAATCAGGGATCCCTGGACCCGTGATAAGGAGTCCTGGGGGTTGGGGACTCCCAAACTCCTGGACATCCATGCACCACTGGGTCATGGGGAGGTGGGAACAGAGTTGGGAATCCAACAGTTGAGGACAATGACGAATCAGGGGCTGGGGGAATGAGGAACTCCAGCCTAACTCATCGGCAAAAGTCTTTATCTTGGTGGTGGTTGTCTGGGAGCGCAGAGGGGCCTTCTGCAGGAGACTTAGGTGGTTCTTGATGAAAGATAGTCCTTGGTTCCAAACTGTTTGTTGATTGTTCATCATGGAAAATGGGTGCATACCAACTCCTCAGGGTGGACCAGAGATGAAGTATCTTTTGCAGGGAAAAATGTCTGGAAAGAGACACTTATTGGCTAAACCCTTGGGGCCTCTAGATACCTCATTAGCATGGAGAACTCTGTCCTGGGCTAACATGACCAGGAATTTAGTAGGGAGCAGGGAGCCTGGGTGCTAGAGTCTCAGACCCACTTAACCTTACCAAGTTTCCTGGCATGAGCCACTGTCCTACACTTGCCTGGCATTTTAAAAATCTATTTCTTCAGTGCTTGGTTGTTTGTGAACTCTAGCAAGCTGCTGTGGTCCAGGCCTCCCCAGTGTGAACCCCTGCAGCAGGTGGGCCTCTTGTCCTTCTAGTGTGTCCCAGCATCTTCCTGCTGAGCATAGATGAGCTACCGAGGCTGGATGCTGAGCTCACTGGTCACAGAGAATTGTGGACATGATGCCTAGTGGCTTTAGATGTGTTTATACCCTGTGCATCCTCTGTGACAATGTGAGACGGTCTCCATATCTTGCCAAAATCCTGCATAGTTTGCTTCTTTGAAAAGTTTCGCCCTTTATTGAGTGGATGGTGGTGTTTGGTGATTTTAACTGTACTTCTCTGATTATCAGTTTGTGTGTGCTTTGCTGTTTCTATTGGAATGAAGTATCCATGCTTATAAGCATCTATCAAGGGCACCATTCCATTTTCCAGAGGAAGATGGCTCCCAGGAAGCCCTTTTATACCAATGTAAGCTCTCTGCTGTGCTTGCATCAACATGTCTCAGGTCCCAACCCCCCTCCCCCAGTGTATTTTGAAAAAAAAATGCTGTTCACCATTGTTCACACCAGACTTTACATTTTCCCTTTGTGGCTGACAGTTTCCTATAACTTGTAATTCATGTTGGGGATTATAGCTCTTCCAACATTGATTGTATTTGTGTGATTAAAGTCAACTCTCACTTCTTGTTCTTTGATATGCATAGCCAGTTGTCTGTAGCATTTATTCAAAGTTTTCATTCCCTATTTTTCAGTATGCTTATGTGTGTTCTCTCTCTCTCTCTCTCTCTCTCTCTCTCTCTCTCTCTCTCTCTCTCTTTCTCACCAGTGAGCATGAGTGACTTGGGAAGACCAGAAGATGTTTCTAGAAGTGAGCTTCTCCACCAGGCACACATTCTCAGAGTTTATAGGAGTGCTGAAGGCTTGCTCACCCTACTTCTACAGCGGACCCCTTCTGGATCCCAAGCCCAGACTCCCCGTCCTTGGCATTCACCTCTAGTGTGCACAGCTGTCTAGTGGCTTCTGAGTTTAGCAAATTCTCATGGCAAGAGGACTTTTTTTTTCTTTCTTCAAGATTTATGCTCCCAGAACTTAGCTGTTGTGGCTGTGCCTTCATGTTGTTTTGTCCCCAGTAGGATAGACAGTCCTGAATATACAGACTGCCATTTCCAGAGGTCAGAGGTTCTCCTTCAGCCAAATTTAAAGAATTCTAATGTGGCAGAACCTGGCTGTATTTGTCTCTTTTATGTTACTGACAAACTGCAGAACAGGTGATGCATCAAGAAAAAAGATTTGTTTTGGCTCATGATTCTGGGCATGCAAATTCCATGGTCTCCATCTAGTGATGGCTGTCTTGCTGGCACTGTTTGCATATGTTTATATATGTGTATGTGTGTATACAACTGTGCATGTATGAATATGTATATACAAGCATTGGTAAATTACATATATGTATGTACTTTATCTATATTTGTGCATATACATATGTGCAAATGTAAATGTGTGTATATGTGTGTATACAAGCATGAAGGTATATGTACACATATATTTGCAAGCATGTAGGTATGTGGGTTTGCACATGTGTGTGTCCTGGTCATCCCTCTTCCCATAGATCCACCAGTACTGATAATGGAGTTTTACTCCCTGACACCTTTACAGCGTGTTTTGAATGAGATGTCCCCCAATAGTCTTAGGCATTTGAATACTTGGTCAGCAGCTGGTGGAGTTGTTTGTGTAGGATTATGCCTCTGGGAGTGGGCTTTGAGGCTTCAAAAGTCTCCTGCCATCTCCAGTGTCCTCTCTCTGCTTCCTGCTTGCCATTGAGATGTGACTGCTCAGCTGCTGCTCCAGTTGCTTTCCATCTGTTACCTCTGATCCAGCATTATGGGCTCTAACCCTCTGGAACTGTAAGCCCCAAATAAACACTTTCTTCTATCAACTGTCCGGGTTGTGGCATTTTATCACGGCAATAGAAAAGGAACCATATTTAGGAACATATTTAGTCTCAGCTGCTCTCCAGGTGCCCTGCCTCCAACACTACAGACGAGTTCGAGCCCACAGTCTTCCCACCACACAGGGAATTACATCCCATGCTCCAACCACGGCATCTGCATTCTACACTGCCGTAAGCCACATCTCAGCAGCAATTCCCATTATGGGACTGTACCAGTGACATCTCCCCTGGCAGCTGTGCAGAAAGAGCAGTGCCAGCTGAGGCAGCTGCCATTTGGGTTCAAAGACTTATTCCCTCTCTCTGTCTTGACCAAACCCCAGGTGAATATCCATCCTGAACCGACTAGCTGACACAGAGCAGCTTACTTGGCTAAGCCTCAGCCCCGTCTGGCCTGGCTTAGCAGCTCTGGGAGACTCAGAAAAAGTCTGCTTAAGCTTTCTCAACAGTGCAGTCTGGAGCTGTGCACCACACTTGGTAATGATGCACCTGCAGGCATCCCAGAGTTTTGCTAGGTTTGTTTCTTTTGATTCTTTTTTTTCTAAACTTTGTATTGATTCTTAGTGACTTTAACATCACACACCCCAATCCCATTCATCTTCCCGTTTATTTGTATCTGAAATCTGTCCTTGCAACCTTCCCTGCAAAAGAAAACAAACAAACAAACAAACAAACCAGAGCAAAGCATGAAAAGCATCTTGTTGCGGAAGCAGCAGCTCTGGGTCTACAGGACCAGCTCGTTCACATGCTCCAGCAGTTCAGAGGTACATGTTGAAGTAAGCCAGCTCAAAGCCCTGGATCTGGGCCTGTGAGCTAGCTGAGTTGGTCAGCCCACCATTTGCTAGGTTTATTATCTGACTGTCCCTGTGTCTATCGTCCTGGCACCAACAGTATGGCTGTGACCTATTCTGAATTCTGTCCCCCACCACCATCACTGTCACTCTCTGACTCAAAGTGATGATGTCAGATGTCCACACCTTTCAGCTAAACAACTCCTGCCAGCTTAGACCGAGCATGCAGGGTACAGGGCTCAAAAGACAGAATTTAACTTGAAGATGGAAGATGAGGGTTGGGAGGTAGGACCTGTGGGTGTGATGAGCAGCCTCTGAACAGCTGGATCTCACACAGACTGGTATTCAGTGTCTGATCCTTGCAGGCTATGAGAACTTCAGTTCTATAAATGTCAGGTAAGTTCTTCCACCTTGTTAGCCAGTAAACACAAGGTATAGTCTTGGGATGTCAAGACTTTCTCTTTCATCAAATCCCCAATGACCAGCTCATTCCTGACTGTCCTGAAGTCTGTCCTCCATAATCCTACCTAACCACAAGACATGGGAAGCGAATGTGGGGCTATGCTTGACTTAAGTCACCAGCAAGGCAGGCCTTTTGCAAATAGAGGTGACTCTAGATTGGGCTCAGATGCCTCTGCAGGGGAAGTGAACCTCAAAAGGCCACACTGGAAGAACAGACATACCCTTGGGACTATTTTAGGTCTCTTGTGCAACCAGAGGCCTCCAGGAAGTGACTGTCTCCTGGGGATTGGGACATTGGAGCCCAGGGTGGGGATCTGGGGTTCCTTCCCTATAAGAGGAGAGTACCCCTGCAAAGCTATAGAGGGGGCTGGAGCCAAGTAGTTGCCATGGCCCTGGGACCTGCTGCACTATTCATCCTGACCCTGTGTATCAAAGAGCTGAGCATCCATGCTGCTGACACCTGTCCAGGTGAGACGGACTCTTAATGCCCACTTAGTGTCCCTGTGCCCACCTCTTCTGAGAAGTTCCTGTCAGCTCAGTGTCACCCTCTGAGGATAGACTCAGACTGACCAGCACCAGTTTAGGTGGAGACTCTGTGGACTTGTGACTGCTGACCCCGAGGCCCTCCATCTGACCTCAGGGACTTCATAGACAAATATGACGCTGACCCTGGTGTTTTCCACCTTCTTAAGGACTTTGGAGAGAGATGCTAGGATCTTCTAATTTGTGGTGCCACATCTCCTTGGTAACTTTGGTAAAGATATACCCCAGAGTCTCCTGGTACATATGGGCAAGGATTTGGAGTTGGAGAACATTCCTGATCAGTTCTGTCCACCCTGGGGAAATTGCTCCTAAGCACAGGACAGCTGTCTCAAGTGGTGACATGGTTAGAGAAGAGACCCAGACAGCAAGACACAGCCCACCACAGGGGACAGAGCCCAGCAGGGAAACTGGACAGGAAAAAGTCCACAAGTCCTCAACCTTACATAAAGAACTCCAGGCCACTAAAGAACACTGGAAGTAGGAGAGGTTGTCCTTCCCACCAATTGATTGTCCAGTGCCATACTGTGAGCCCTGTAAACATATGCACAAGTAACATTATATAGATGGACTCAGCAGGTTATATTTGGAAATATATATATATATATATATATATATATATATATATATATATATACATACATATATATGTATGCATATACAATAGTAATTTATGAAAAATGAGGCCATGAATTTGAACATGGAAACTGGATTTGGGAGGATTTGGAGAGAGGAAAGGGAAGAGAGAGATGTAATTATAACCTCAAAAAAACAAAAAGAAACAAAAAAGAATCAAAAAGAACAAAACCTGGCAAGAAGCATACTGAAGACAATTCTCTGGCCTCTGAGGTGAGTCCTTCCCTATTCTGATATCTCAAGAGTTCTTCTGCAGAGATATGCACTTTGCAAGTGAGCAAATTGACAACATTTTACAGAATGTAGCAACTTCTGTTTGGTTCCAGCTGTGCCTTGGGGCATGCAAGCCCCCAACCCTAGAAGATCTCCTTTAGTCATTGCAAGGTCAACCCTCATGAGTTGGAGGGGAAAAAAAGTTACATTAACTCAGTTTCCTAGCAAGATTGACTCTGGTTTTTCTGTAACCATTTCCAAAGATTTCTCTAAGTTCTAGAGTGATGGCAAGGCTTTAGTTCTCATTCTCAAACTGAGCCCTATTCTCTAAGAAGGCACATTTTTAAGTGTGTATAGCTGTTTTGCCTGTATGGATGTCTGTGCACCGTTTGCATGCCTGCAGAAGCCAGAAGAAGGCATCAGATCCACTGGAACTGGAGTTACTGATAGTTGTAAGGTACGATGTGGGTACTGAGAATCAAACCTAGGTCCTCTGCAAGAACAAGTGCTCTTAAACTCTGGGCCTCTCTCTAGTTCCTGTAACCACTTGAGGCTGAGGAGACAGAGACATAGGGGGTTAGGTGATCTGTCAAATGACAGCATTGGTAACTGGAGGGCTCATTCTCAAGCAGCTCCCCCCACACCAGACACAGATCTATCCTGCATCCTCCTCCCATCTGCCCAGCTCCCAGGGCAACAATAGACTTAATCCCTATCAAAGGAAGACCTGACTTCTGCTCCATCTCTCCAGAGGAGGCTGATGATTCTGTCCACAGCCCTCTGCCTGACAGGGCTGGGCTGCCAGTTGCCCTCAGGGCAGGTGGTATATGATAACTAGTACCAACTGATGCTTGTGTTGTTCTGCAGAAGTGAAGGTCCAGGATCTGGAAGGCTCCAACAAGCTCACCATCCTTCAAGGCTGCCCTGGCTTGCCTGGAGCCCCAGGGCCCAAGGGAGAGGCAGGTGCCAAAGGAGATAGAGGTGTGTGCTGAGGAAGGAGGTATATGGAAGGGGAGAGTAATGGGGGAGGGGTCCCAAGTCATGGAAAGGACAGTAATGATAAGAGGTCTTCTGAACTTGGATGTCCACCTCGGACTGTCCCTGCCTCTGGGTCTTACACTGGGTACCTTGACAGAATGGCCAGTGACAAAAACTAGGTTCAAAAGACCCAGAAGGGCTTCTCTGGACCATCTAAGGTACTCCAGGCATGCTTTACAGCCCTGCCCTTATCAATGTTTGCTCCTCTTGGCCACTGTAAGACATCTAGGCAACGGACACTTTCACAGCCGCCCTGAAAGCTGGGCTGTGGCTTTCTTCTTCACCTGCCTAATATTATAAGACAGAGGCTCAAAGGGACCAGCACCTTCCTGAGCCAGCCCTCCAGCAAAGAGTGGGGCAGCCCCCATATCTGATCTGAATCAGGGTACAGTCACTGGAACCGTGGACCACAACATTAGTACTTATGGAGACCTCAAGCACACTTGTTCTCCCCAAGTGGGAGACAGTGGTGGTTGGCGTCTATGTTTCCTGAGTCAGAGAGCCCCTTGCTTGAAGGTATTCCACGTAGAGCCTGGCAACAGTCTGGTAGGGTGGGAACCTGGGAACATGTCTCCCACTGTACAGTCACTGTGGTTCAGGCCTGGTCCACTCAACTTGGACAAGGAAGCAAATGAAAGCTTAGTGACTGCGTGCCCCAGTGTGTAGCCATGGGTTAGGCTACACCACACCCCTGTGTCCTCCCCAGCCACAGGTAGGGTATACCCCACTCCTGTGTCCTCCCCAGCCATGGGTAGGCTACACCCCACCTTCTGCACCCTCCTCAGTGAGCCTGGCTGTAGTCTCAAAGGTCACTATGACCAGCATGACAGGCTAAGGAGTTTGTCACCTCAGAAAAGACCTTCTGGGGGGATAATGGCGGATACATTGCTCAAAAAGTGTGTTTGGTTTTGCAGGAGAGAGTGGCCTTTCTGGACATCCTGGGAAGGCAGGACCAACTGGACCCAAAGGTAATAACTTGGCAGACAACTGAAGGGTGTTAGATCTGGTATCTCAATCTGTCCATAAAGACATGAGGACTGGAGAGAGAAATGGGAAGGGACTGTCCAACCCAGGCCGCAGTGTCTCTTCCCTGGAGACAGCATGGGTTGCCTGCCCCTACCCCTGGTTTCCAGCTCCCCAGCCCCATTTGGTGGGTCTCCTGATTGACCAGATACTTTGGGCACCAGTATTGTGTTCTCTTTCCTCAGGAGACCGAGGAGAGAAGGGAGCACGTGGAGAAAAAGGTGAGTTTCTGTGTAGTGTCTTGTGGGTGTGCAAAGCCCTGTGTAGAGAAATGCCTGCCATGCCCAGACATATCTAGGGAAAGGAGCCTCAGCCTGAGGTCCTATTGTCTGGGCAGTGGGTAGAGTAGGTGGCAGGGGTCAGGATATTCAAACCTGATGGCTCATATTCTGGGGCTCATATTCTGTTAGTGGTCTGTATGAGTGATTGGCAAAACTGATTTAAATTTTTTTTCTAATTGACGTTTATTTAGTTTTAAAAAACAATTATGAATCTTTAGGACATAATCTCATATTTTCTTTATAATCAAGGGGGGGTCTACCTGAGTTCTGAATGCCAAGGACACCCCTCACCCACAAGGCCTCTCAGGTAGCCACTCTGGCAGAGCATAGTCCAAGCACACTTGGAGCAAAGCATGCTGGGAACAAAGAGGGACTACTCACTCTTTTTGGTACACAAGGCCTCAAGATGGGTGCTGTCAGAGACAGACAGCACTTATCATAGCTGTGGAGGAAAAGCCAGGCAACTGGACCATGTACTCTAAGAGGAGGGTCTAGGCAAGTCCTAGAATTATCCAATTCGTGTATTTGTGGGGCTTTAGTGGCCAATAGGGATGTAGCTGATGACCTCAGACTTATGACCACTGTCTCTTCACTTCCCACACAGGAGACACTGGGCCCTCTCAGTCATGTGCTGCAGGTGACCACACTGCCTACCCTGTTCCCATATAGATGTTCTCTGTCCCTGCCTCCACTTCTAGACCCCTGCTGTGTGACTTTGTGCTTGTTGCTCACCTTCTCTGAGCATACTTGGGCTCCGGTTCCACCTTCATTGTCTGCTTCTATCCACAGGACCTCGGACCTGCAAGGAGTTGCTCACCCAGGGCCACTTTCTCACTGGCTGGTATACCATCTACCTGCCAGATTGCAGGCCCCTGACTGTGCTGTGTGACATGGATACAGATGGTGGGGGATGGACCGTGAGTGCTGGGTTAGCCCCCAGTCACTGAACTCTCAGAACCCAAATTCCATGGTCAACAGAAAATGAGCTGTGTGGGATTCTGTCCCTTTGTGCCTCAGAGGGAACCCTTCACTCCTCTACAGTGAAGACAGAGAATCAGAAATGCTGGCAGGTGACCTGTGCAGGAGAGCACACATTGAAAGGGAGGCCCATATGAAGCCAGCATACTCCTGTTCCTGCTGTGTGGCTTGGGATGTGTTGCCTATTCCTGTTTCTGCCTCCCGGGTATATGGGGTCTGCCATGACCGGTTTATGGCACTAGGTTCCCAATGTTCTGAGAATCATGAATTCCTGCTCTGCTTTGAGGCTCAGTCCCCTGTGTTGACTTCTGTGTATACCTCACTGTCCCAGGTCTTCCAGAGGAGGCTCGACGGCTCTGTGGACTTCTTTCGGGACTGGACCTCATACAAACAGGGCTTCGGCAGTCAGCTGGGGGAGTTCTGGCTGGGGAATGATAACATCTATGCTTTAACCACCCAGGGTAGGCAATGCCTGACAGATGGGGTAACCTTGGGACCCTGAGACCTAGGCCATGGGGCAGAGGAGACTCGGGTGGTTAGAGTACACAATGCTCAGCCAAGTCACCCCAGGGCATAAGATCCCAGCTGTAGCCTTCCACAGGGTGAGGGTCAGGGGATAAGGGACTCCTCTAGCTGTGGGATATGACATCTCAGGACCCAGCAGATGTTTTGGGACATTGTTTCTCATGTCTAGCTGTTAATTCATCTAGAACACTTGCCTCTGGGTCCTACAAAAGTCCCCCTTGTCTCTACAAGTCACAGAGAGAGCAAGCTACCCTAGTCCCTTCTCCTCCCACTGTGGTACAAAACATTAGCTCATGACCTATCTGATGTTTCACTGAAAATCACATAGCCTTTTGTCTCTTACTCACTACCAGGACACCTTACTGTGTCTGCTTCTGTGCATCCAGTATTTTTTCCTTTTTTTTTTTTTAAAGAAAAAGCTAAAACCTTGCACATCCAGGTTCAGACTACTGCATTAGAAAGCACAGCCCTCTGGGAGAATTCACAGGATAAAGCATGCTGGGTCATGCCAAGGGAACACTGCCAGTGGGTTTTCAGGTACTGCCTTTAGAACAGACTGAGGTGCCTAGAAACATGGGGGCCCCTGAGGTACTTCTGTAGCCAAAAGATGTTGGTACCTATTCAGGTGAATTCCCTAAGACTGCTCAGTTCAAGTATCATTCATAGATATCAATATAATATCTGACTCTCATCTCTTATGCCTGGTGGCAGCACACCTCAAAGGCTGAGCCTTAACCATTCCCCTCCTCTCCTTGAAGGAACCAGTGAGCTGCGGGTGGATCTTGCAGACTTTGATGGCAAGCAAGCCTTTGCCAAGTACAGCTCCTTCCACATCCAGGGAGAGGCAGAGAAGTACAAGCTTGTCCTGGGGAACTTCCTTGGCGGTGATGCTGGTGAGAGCTGGGGGTTAGGGGCAGGTTGTGAGGTAGAGGCTTCTGAGCTACTCTGGGAGTAGAAGGGTCTGTTTTTCATCTCTCCGTGGTGGCCTTGAGCCTTGAGCCTGGGTTTGCCATCAGCAAAATACTAATATCTGCATCTTTAGGCCACGGGAGTCCCACAGGAGTCTCACGAGAGTCCCATGAGATGCAGTTAGCACTCCCAAGGGCCCACGGCCAGCTCCATTGCATAGTGACTGAGGACCTCTGAATCCTGTCTCTGATGAAGTCAGAAGGAGATGATCATCTCTCCCTGGGTGTTAAAGCCTTGTTTCTGCAAAGAAAGAGCATATCTGGGACCTTGAGTTAGCCAGTCTTCCATCTCTGTGACAGAGAACTAAAGGAAGTAAACTCAGAAGGAAGGAAGACTAATTTTGACCCATGGTTTCATCCTTAGTCACTTGGACCCAAGGTGAGGTCATGGTGGAAGCCTGTGATGAAACAAAGCCTCTCATTCTAGAGCAAACAGGAAGCAAAGAAAGGGGCTGAACATCCTTCAAAGGCATGTCCTAGTGAGCCACTTCTTTTAACCAGGCCCTGCCTTCCCAGTGTCACCATCTCCCAATGGGCTACTAGGAATCTATCAGTGACCAACCCACTGAGGTCTCAGCTCTCCCAATCCAATCACCTGACCCCAAATAGTGCTTGCACTCCACCAAGCCTTCAGCCTACAATACGTTTAGGGGACGGTTCATCTTCAAACAAAGGAAGCAGCCCCTATTTCCCAGAAGGATTTGTGGTTTGGGAAGTGCATCTTATAGAGTGCACCCTACAGCATATGAACCTGGGGACAGTGGATTGGAAAGGCTCCCAGCGTGACTTGAGGAACCTTGAGGCCTGATCACACCTATTTAACTTCTGGACTCAGAGCTAAGGGAGGCAGGCCACATCCTCAGGAGCTTCAATGGTGATCACTCTGAAACATATGCATTCGCTTTGCACCATATTGTCTTGGACATTTAGAACAATCAAAATCAACCAAAGCCAGGAGTGCTTTGATGGTGTTCTGTGGGTGAGGCCATTAGAAGCTCCTTGTAAGCTTCGTGTCCAGCAAGGAAGTGGAACAGGATGAATCCTAGAGGCCTGGAGGCATGAAGCCATTCGGTGCCTACTGTGAGACAGCCAGGGCAAGAGAGAAGTCAAGAGAAGTCCCAGAGAGACACGGGTTACAGGAGAAAGAGAGCCAGTTGCTGTGTTACTGTTCAGAGGGTTCCCAAGGGAACAGATAGTGTACTTAGGGAGAGAGATGCCAATGGCCACCGGGACTTGTTGGACCAGGACGAGAGGGTCATATTTGATGAATACTCTCTCCCAAGGCTTAAGTAGCTGGGTCCCTCACCTGGATCTCAACTGATAAATCCTCCGATCGAGGGTAGGAACATCAAAGATGGGAGCTGGGCTGTCTATCAGGCGTCTAGCATCTATGTGATGCATGTTCTTTCTGAACAGGTGACTCCCTGACTTACCAAAACAACAGATTCTTCTCCACCAAAGACCAAGACAACGACCTGAGTTCTTCCAGCTGTGCTGTGACTTATCATGGAGCCTGGTGGTATGCTGAGTGCCACACTTCCAACCTGAATGGCCTCTACCTTGGGGGTCCCCATAAAAGCTTTGCAAATGGTGTCAATTGGTATTCATGGAGAGGGTACAACTACAGCTACAAGGTTTCTGAGATGAAGGTGCGCCTTGTCTAGCTCTCCACACAGAGAGCATCCCTCCCAGACTCAGGAGTCTTCCATCTTCACTGCCAGCTAAGGCAGGAGTGTGCCCACCCTGCCCCGCTCTGCCCATTGCCCACACTCCACACAGCCCGTGACCTCCGACCTGGCTTTCTTCACACACATATATTCTCACCACAAAGAAAAAAAAATGCATTTCCAAAAGCTGCTTGTTCTCTGACAGACAGGTGTCTGTGTTTGTGTTTGTGTGTGTGTGTGTGTGTGTGTGTGTGTTACTTTTGAATAGTTCACCGTATCTGAATCATTCAGCAGCATTGTCTATAAACTTGACAGGAAGGGTTGGAAAGCCCATTTATAAACATGGAGGCAACAGCCAATACCGTATCCCCTCAGGCCATCTGCTTCTGACCCCCAGCTCTGCCACTACCATAGATGACTTTTCCCCGTTCCTGCTTCCGTGTCCCCTCATGGCTCACTCACAGCAATTTACATGGCCATTACAAAGTCATCTTGGTGCTAGGAAAAGCACTCCTAAGAGTCTGGGAGCGTGCATGAGCCCTTCCCTTTCTATGTATGAGCTTCTGTGAGCCAGCAGTTCACTTGACTAGCAGATGTGGTGAGCACTGTGCCCAGAGGTGCCTGAAGGGAAGACGTAGAGGGGCCTACCTCCCCTGGGGCACATGTCAAAACCACAATTCCGCTGACAGAGCTGAGGGGGGTTGAAAACAGGGAGAGGTACTCCTCAAGACTAGGGCTAGGTTCTCCCTGGGACTCAAGGAGGTCTGAGCAGGAGGAAGACAAAGTTGGGTAATCAAAGTAGACCATCTACTTATCAGGCACAAAGGAAGGAAGATAAGGGCCCAGGAGGATAGCATCTCTCTGCCCAATCAGATTTAGCCCTTTGCCTCTGCTTCAATGTACAGACACACATTCAATGGATTAAAACAATAGTCCCATTGCCCACAGTTCCAAAGATAATAAGATTTGTAGAAAGCTAACACGCTGATGTCCTTTTCTCCTGATGCCTGAGAGAGCCTGACCCCCCACCTCCACCAGCTTTCTGGGCACCCAGGCTTCCTTGGCTATGTTTTTTTGTCCAGCTTCAAAGCCAACAGCAGCTATTAATCTGTCATGTTGGTCACCTAGAATGGGTCTCCATTTCTGACTGGAGTCAGATATGGTCTGCTTAGAAAAAACAGAGTCCTCAAAGGTCTTAGGGAGTCATAGCCCAGTTGTTCCCTGGAAACTGTTTATAGTTCCAAACATCAGGCAAGAAATCTTCAGTAGAGGGCCTATTACCCTGCCCACAATATCCCGTTAAAATCAAAATAGAAAACCAACCAGGATTGAGAACATACCTGAATTTGTAGAGTGCTTGGCAAGTGTGCACATGCTGGATTTGATTCCCAGTATTGCATAAAATGGGTTTGGAGGTACACACCTATTATCTGAGCATTCAGGAGATGGAGGCAGGAAGATCAGAAGTTCATGGCCATTTCAGGTTTAAAGCCAGCCTAAGATTCATGAGCCCCTGTCTCAAACAAAAAAGCAAACAGCAGCAACAAAGAAGTGAAGCTGGCAGGCTGAGGACGGTTCCCACATGGGGTTCCTAGTGCTAGGGTGGCCTCAGGGAAAGCAGCTGCAGCAGCGAGACAGAGTATGGAGTTTGGGGTATCATGGTCAGTTTAGGGCCATTACTCATGCTTTTAAGGGGAGTTGGCAGGCAGGGGGCTGGATCTTAACTGGGGTTCCTGGTGTCAATGTGGTCTCTGGGAGAACAGCCAGAATTGTGTGCCAGAGTATGCAGCCCAGGACATAGGGTGCAGTTTGAGGATGTTGGATGTGGTTTAAGGGGAGTTGATGGGGAAAGGGTGGAGTCTCACCCAGGTTCTCTAGCATCAATGTGGCCTTGGGGAAAAGCAGACAGAGTTGAATATTAAGCCCAGGCCATGGAGGACAGTTGAGGGCCGTTGGGTGTGCTTTAAGGTTAGTTGGCAGGCAGAGGACATGGTCCCACCTGGGTTCACAGGTGGAATCGTGGGCTCCAGCAAAGCAGCCAGAGGTGTGGGCCAGGATATGGAGTCCAGGGCATGGGGGACAGTTTGGGGCTGTTGGCTGTTTCAAGGAGAGCTGTCTGGAAGAAGATGGAGTTGTACCTGGGGTTTTAAATTCCACAGTGGCTTCTCTGAAAGTAGCCCAAGTAGGGGTCCATATATGGATCCCAGGAGACAGGGTGCATTTTGGTGCTTTGGGGTATGCTTTAAGGTTGGTGTTGGTGGACAGAGTGTTGGGTCTTATCTTGGGTCTCTGGTTCCAGTGTGGCCTCAGAGAAATCATCTAGAGTTGAGGACTTGACTACAGAGCCTAGCAACACAATGTAATAACAACAGCAAAGCCTCCCAGCAGGTCAAGAAAAACACAAGTTTGGGCTGGAGGTGGAGCTTGGTGGTAGAGCACTTGCCTAGTATGCACAGGAACTGAGTTCTAAAGACAGCACTGAACAGCACAGAAGGGATGGATTAGAGCAAAGAACTCACAAAATTGATTCCAATGTATTTGTTGAAAGGCTAAAAATAATTTAGACTTCTAAAAACATCCTCATATTTGTAAAAGAAAAAAAGTTTCAATGTGTTTATAAACATTATACTTATCAGAGAAATACAAATCATAGCTAAATGAAATGCTAATTAATACAGGTTACTGCTCATTTAAGGCCACGTTTAGGAGGAGAGGCATTGTTCACCAGTGGAAGCATGCAGAATGCTGTGGCCAATAAGAACACAGTGAACGTTGATGTCACAGAAGAACTCAGTCATGATCTCACAGTCACAGGCATCCTTCATGGCATGGAGCACCGTGTGGCTGCGGGAGGCATGGCCAGGGACTAAAGACCCTCAGACCAGAGTGAATCCCAGCTCAGCACAAAGAGAATGCACCAAGCCCCACAAAGCCTGCAGCTCCATAGAACTCTCCTCAGCAGGATTGGAAGGCAACTGTTAGCATCACAAGAGGTGGGAGTCACCAACATCATAGTGTATATTTTAATTAGTTATTAATGTATGCATGCATGCATGTTTGTGTGCAGGTGCATGCCAAGGACAGAAGAAGCCGTTGGCTCTCTGAGAGCTGGAGTTATATGCATTGGTGATTTGTGTAACTTGTTCTGTGACTACTGGAACCCAAACCCTGGTCTTCATGATTGCACAGACTAAATTTTTAACCTTTAAGCTATCTCTCTAGCTGCTCATATAGCTATTTTTCAAATGCAGTCCACTTTTTTTTATTGGATATTTTATTTACATTTTAGATGTTATCTCCTTACCCCATCCCCCCCCCAGGAACTCCCTATCCCATCCCCCCTCCTCCTGCTTCTATGAGGATGTGTCCTCACCTACCTCCCAACTCCCACCTCCCCACCCTCAAATTCCCTCCCTCCACTGGGCGTCCAGCCTTCATGGGACCAAAGACCTCCTCTCCCACCTATGCCGACAGGGCCATCCTCCCTTACATATACAGCTGGAGCCATGGGTCCCGACCTATGTGCTCCCAGGCTGGTAGTTTAGACCCTGGGAGCTCTGGTTGGTTGGTACTGTTGCTCTCCTCATGAGGCTGCAAACCCTTTTTAGCTCCTTCAGTCTTTTCTCTAACTCCTCCATTGGGAACCCCATGATCAGTTCAGTGGTTAGCTGTGAGCATCCGCCTCTGAATATGTCAGACTCTGGCAGACCTCTAAGGGAGACAGCTGTATCAGGCTCCTGTCAGCATGAACTTCCTGACTTCCACATCAGTGTCTACCTTTGGTGACTGCACATGGGATGAATACCCAGGTAGAATCGTCTCCAGATGGTCACTCCTTCAGTTTCTGTTCCCCACTTTGTCTCCATATTTGTTCCCTTGAGTATTTTGTTATTCCTTCTAAGAAGGACCAGAGCACCCACACTTGGTCTTCCTTCTTCATGAGCTTCATGTGGTCTGTGAGTTGTATCTTGGATATTTCAAGCTTCTGGGCTAATATCCAATTATGAATGAGTGAATACCATGTGTGTTCTTTTGTGATTGGGTTACCTCACTCAGGATGATATTTTCTAGTTCCATCCATTTACCTAAGAATTTCTCGAGTTCATTGTTTTTAATAGCTGAGTAATACTCCATTGTGTAAATGTACCACATTCTCTGTATCCATCCCTCAGTTGAAGGACATCTGGGTTCTTTCCAGCTTCTGGCTATTATAAATAAGGCTGCTATGAACATAGTTGAGCATATGTCCTTGTTATATGTTCGAGCATCTTCTGGGTATATGCCCAGGAGTGGTATAGCTGGATCCTCAGGTAGTGCTATGTCCAATTTTCTGAGGAACCGCCAGACTGATTTCCAAAGTGGTTGCACCATCTTGCAGTCCCACCAACAATGGAGGAGTGTTCCTCTTTCTCCACACCCTCACCAGCATCTACTATCACCTGAGTTTTTAATCTTAGCCATTCTGACTGGTGTGAGGTGGAATCTCAGGGTTGTTTTGATTTGCATTTCCCTGATGACGAAGGATGCTGAACATTTCTTTAGGTGCTTCTCAGCTATTTGAGTTTCCTCAGTTGAGAATTCTTTGTTTAACTCTGTACCCCATTTTTCAATAGGGTTATTTGGTTGTCTGGAGTCTAATTTCTTGAGTTCTTTGTATATATTGGATATTAGCCCTCTATCCGATGTGGGATTGATAAAGATCTTTCCCAATCTACTAGTTGCCATTTTGTCCTATTGACAGTGCCCTTTGCCTTTACAGAAATTTTGCAATTTTATGAGGTCCTATTTGTCAATTCTTGATCTTAGAGCATAAGCCATTGGTTTTCTGTTCCAAATATTGGTGTTCTGTGCCAAATATTCAAGGTTCTTCCTCACCTTCTCTTCTATTTATTTCAGTGTATCTGGTTTTATGTGAAGGTTCTTTATCCACTTGGACTTGAGCTTTGTACAAGGAGATAAGAATGGGTCGATTTGCATTCTTCTACATGTTGTCCTCCAGTTGAACCAGCACCATTTGTTGAAAATATCCTTTTTCCACTGGACAGTTTTATCTCCTTTGTCAAAGATCAAGTGACCATAGGTGTGTGGTTTCATTTCTGGGTCTTCAATTCTATTCCATTGATCTTCCCGCCTGTCTCTGTACCAATACCATGCAGTTGTGGGGTTTTTTTAATCACTATTGCTCTGTAG